GAAGGTCTTTAGAATGTGTGTTTTCACTGTGAGTTAATAAGGCACACTTAAATATTAATTTAAGAGCCTTTTTTTTATATTTCCCCTTCATTTACTAAAGATGTTTTGAAAAGTAACACCATAATATAAACTTTTTTTCATTATTCACATGTGCATACATTGTTTGGGCCATTTCTCCCCCCTGCCCCCCACCCCCTCCCTCTCCCCCTACCCCCCTTGCTTCCAGGCAGAACCTGTTCTGCCCTCTTCTCCAATTTTGTTGAAGAGTAGACATAAACAATAATAAGAAAGACAAAGCGTTTTTGCTAGTTGAGATAAGGATAGCTATACAGAGAGATTCCTAGCATCGCTTCCATGCACATGTGTATTACAACCCGAACTGATTCATCTCTACCAGACCTCGACCTCTGTCGCTTTAAGTTTACTGTATTAGCTCCTCTGCGGTGGGCACATCAAACACTTTCAAGTTTTGGGTTTCTTACTTTTTTCCCTATTCCTCCTGTATGTGTCCTCCCCTTATTATGTGACCCATGTCTGATAATATTACTGCCTTTGTTTTAGATCTAAAGTCTGCATATGAGGGAGAACATGATTTTTGGCTTTCTGAGCCTGGCTAACTTGACTTAAGATGATGTTCTCCATTTCCATCCATTTACTTGCCAATGATAAGATTTCATTCTTCTTCATGGCCACATAAAATTCCATTGTGTATAAACACCACATTTTCTTAATCCATTCATCAGTGGTGGGGCATCTTAGCTGTTTCCGTATCTTGGCTATTGTGAATAGTGCTGCAATAAACATGGGTGTGCAGGTGCCTCAGGAGTAACCTGAGTCACATTCCTTTGGGTATATCGCTAGGAGTGGGATTGCTGGATCATATGGCAAATCTATGTTTAGTTTTTTAAGAAGCCTCCATATTGTTTTCCAGAGTAGTTGTCTAACTTGCATTTCTACCAGCAATGTATAAGGGTTCCTTTTTTTCCCACATCCTTGCCAACATTTGTTGTTGGTGGTGGTTTTGATGATAGCTACATTCTAACAGGGGTGAATAGCTGTTGGGATCTTAGTATGGTTTTGATTTGCATTTCCTTTATGGCCAGAGATGGTGAGCTTTTTTTTCATGTGTTTTTTGGCCATTTGAATTTCTTCTTTTGAAAAAGTTCTGTTTAGTTCACTTGCCCATTTCTTTATTGGTTCATTGATTTTGGGGGAGTTTAGTTTTTTAAGTTCCCTGTATATTCTGGTTATCAGTCCTTTGTCTGATGTATAGCTGGCAAATATTTTCTCCCACTCTGGCTGGTCTCTTCAGTTTAGAGACCATTTCTTTTGTTGTGCAGAAGCTTTTTAATTTTATGTAGTCCCATTTGTCCATCCTTTCTCTTAGTTGTTGAGCTGCTGGGGTTCTATTGAGGAAATCCTTACCTATACCTATTACTTCCAGAGTATTCCCTACTCTTTTCTGTACTAGCTTCAGAGTTTGGGGTCTAATATTAAGGTCCTTGATCCATTTTGAATTGATATTAGTACAGGTGATAAACATGGATCTAGTTTCAGTTTTTTGCAGGCACATAACCACTTTTCTCAGCAACATTTGTTGAAGAGGCTATCTTTTCTCCATCATATGGTTTTGGCATCTTTGTCAAATATAAGGTGTGCATAACTGTGTGGATTCATATCAGGGTCCTCTATTCTTTTCTGCTGGTCTTCATATCTGTTTTTGTGCCAGTACCATGCTGTTTTTTATCGCTATTGCTTTGTAATATAGTTTGAAGTTGGGTATCGTGATACCTCCAGCATTGCTAATTTAAGAGCTTATGAATGGTAATGTGATGAGGATTTTGAACCTCATGCTTCTTTTATACTTTTTAGTATTACAGCATTATGGTCATGAAACTAAACATAGAAGATTATTTATATATCACTTAATTTTCTCATAATTTACTATGTGTAAATGTGTGATTTGGTATAAGTCATTTAAAGAGACATTTCTTTCTTTATTGAATACATACTTGTTTAATTATGACTATCTTTTCTAGTTGACCAACTTGACTAATAATTCTTTGCAGTTTATGAGTTTAGTCTGTCTACATCTTTAGGTCATAGTGAGGAGAGAGTAGGAATAGTTGAATAGCAGCTGCTCATCTATAGGTGAAATGCAAACTTGCAATCTATCCAAGAATGTGCAAGTAGTGCTGTACTGGGATGAAGTCCTTGGGCTTACAATCTGCTCATGAAACCTTATTGCTCTTTCTTATTAAAGAGTATCATAAATGCTGAGGTTGGAAGCTGAGCATTTTATATGAGCTTTTTAATCTTTTATTTGATCATCACAAATTAATTTTGTATTTAGAGCTACCTAGGAAGTAAAAGATGAAATTTCAGTATGCTAAAATCTAGATGATGAAAGCACTGATCTGAAAGCTTCGTCTTCATGATAAATACCTTGTTCAGTGCCTTGCACACAGGTAGGACCTGTTGAACATTTGTGTTGAGTATTTGGACAGAGAGGAGGAGGGAAGGGTGTGGTAGGAAATAATGTCATTTTGAGAGACATGCATTGCAGAGGCCAGGTGTCATTTTCTATAAAATAATAATAATTATATAATAATTACAATAATTAAGCCTACTTATTTTGATTCTTCTTGAAACATAAAGTGCATTCTTGTTATATACTATAATTACAGGCTATTCCCAATCAAAATGGTAGCTGTGACATAAAAGAATCAGAAGAATATGCTTCAGAAACTACAGAAAAAACACCAAAGCAGGACACTGACCGGATATGTGATAAAGACATTCATCAGAACCTCAGTCTAGAGATTGAACGAGTCACTGAAATGGATGCAGTCCCACTCATAGCAGAGGGGTCTGGTGAGCAGTCTTTGAAGACCACTTATGAGACCCCGGCAGAAGACAAAACCCAGTGCTGCTCACAATGCAATTCCGAATTGTCATTTTCTGGTCCTAATGCTTTGGTACCCATCGATTTTCTGGAGAATCCAGAAACTATCCAGAATCTCCAACTGCAAGTAAAAGAGACATCAGATGAGAACTTGAGATTACTTCACGTCATAGAGGATCAGGACAAAAAAGTTGAAAGTTTGCTGAGTGAAATAAAAGAATTAGACTCAAAATGCCATTTACAGGAAGTACAGCTGAAGTGCAAGACTGAAACATGCATACAGTTGGAGAAAATAGTTGAGGACCTCAAGAAAGAGAAATCTAACTTAAGTGCAAAGTTAGAATCCCTTTCTTGTGATAACCAGGAGCTATGCCAGCTAGTAGAATGCTCAGAGTGCCTAGGTTCTAATTTAGAAATGGTCTCAGATGAATCGTCACATAAAGTTATTGAAGACACTGCAACCAACATAGATGGCAGCTGGAAAGAGAGATTTCTCGATGTGGAAAATGAGTTGAACAGGATCAAGTCTGAGAAAGTTAGAATTGAGCATCATGCCATCTCTGTGCAAGCTGACTTAGACATAGTTCAAAGAGAGAAACTGTGCTTAGAAAAAGATAATGAAAATAAGCAGAAAGTTATTGTCTGTCTTGAAGAAGAACTGTCTGCAGTTACAGGTGAGAGAAACCAGATTCACGAAGCATTAGATGCTGCATCAAAAGAAAACAAAGCACTGGGCCAGAGGTCTGAGAAGATGAAGGAGAAAATACAAGAACTGGAGTCTCTTCACAGTGAGAGTCTCCATCACATTCAAGTGGTAGAGGCTGAGGTCAAGGACAAAACAGAACTCCTTCAGACCATGTCCTCTGATGTCAGCAAGCTTGCAAAAGACAAAGCTCATCTCCAGGAGCAGCTACAGAGTTTGCAAAGGGACTCACAGGTGTTGTCACTGGCAACATGCAAGCTGGAAAGCCAAGTTGAACAACTGAATAAAGAAAAAGAGTCACTCCTCAGAGAATCTGAAAGCCTACAGGTCAAACTGAGTGAGTCAGAACATGAAAAACTGACTGTCTCCAAGGCCTTGGAGGTTGCGCTGATGGAGAAAGGTGAGATCGTACTGAGGCTGGGCTCAACCCAGGAGGAGGTATGTCAGCTGAGAAGAGGCATGGAGAAACTGAGTGTCCGCATTGAGGACGATGAAAAGAAGCAGCTCCAGGTGACAGAGAAGCTGAGAGAAAGCCAGCGTGAAAACGACTCGCTGAAGGATAAGATGGAGAACCTGGAGAGGGAGTTGCAGATGTCAGAAGAAAACCAAGAGCTCATGATTGTTGATGCAGAGAATTGCAAAGCAGAGGTAGAGACCCTAAAAGCACAGATAGAGGAAATGACTGAAAGCCTGAGAGTTTCTGAATTAGACCTTGTCATGGTTAGGTCTGAAAAAGAAAATCTAACAATGCAACTGCAAGAAAAACAAGGTGAAATGTTAGAATTAGATAGGTTGCTGTCTTCACTTAAAAGTCTATTAGAAGAAAAGGAGCAACAGAGAATACAGATGAAAGAAGAATCCAAAGCTGCCATGGAATTGCTTCACACACAATTGAAAGAGCTCAATGAAGAAATAGCAGCCTTGGTTAATGACCAAGAAACTCAAGAGGCTAAGGAACAGAGTCTAGACCTGCCAGGGGAGGAAGTGCATCAGCTGAGAAGTAGTGTTGAAAAGCTGAAAGTATGCATAGAAGCTGATGAAAAGAAGCAGCTCCATATCTTACAGGAACTGAAGGAAAGCCAGCATCATGCAGTTTTGCTTAAAGATAGAGTTGAGAACCTTGAACGAGAACTGGAACTATCAGGAAAAAACCAAGAGTGTGTAATTCTTGAGGCTGAGAAATCCAAAGCAGAGGTAGAGATTCTGAGAACTGAAATACAGGGGATGGCTCAAAACCTGCAAGACTTGGAATCAAATCTTGTTAATACAAGGTCAGAAAAAGAAAATTTAATCAAAGAATTACAAAAAGAACAAGAGAGAGTATCTGAATTAGAAACAGTAAGGTCTTCCTTTGAACACCTATTGCAAGCAAAAGAACAAGAACAAGTACAGATGAAAGAAGACTCTGAAATTGCAGTGGGAATTCTTCAAACCCAATTACAAGAGCTAAATGAGAAGATGGTAGCCTTGTGTAATGATCAAGAGTTCTGTAAGGCCAGAGAACAGAATCTGAGTAGTCAAGTAGATTCTCTTGAACTTGAGAAGATTCAGTTGCTACAGGACCTTGATGAAGCCAAAAATAATTATATTACTTTGCAGTCTTCTGTGAATGGCCTCAGGCAAGAGGTTGAAGCTGGCAAACAGAAATTAGAGAAGAAGGATGAAGAGGTCAGGAGGCTAAAACACCAACTGCAAGATGAAGAGCACCTTGTCTCTAAACTGTCCCAGCTGGAGGGAGAGCAGCAACTTTGGCAGAAGCAGAAACTAGAACTGGGAAATCTGACAGTGGAATTGGAGCAGAAGGTCCAAGTGCTGGAATCCAAAAATGACACTTTGCAGAACACCTTTGAAGCCCTGCAGAACTCTTATAAGGATGTAGAGAATGAACTAGAATTGACGAAAAGTGGAAAAAATGTCCTTGGCTGAAAAAGTAAGTGTCTTTATCTACTTGCATTTTAATAAGTGGTCAGGAGGGAGGAGCACCATTCTGTGAGTTGTACTTCCTTCTAGATGGTGCCTGCCATGTTGGGCCTAACTTTGTAAAGCCTTTACGTTTGTGGGGGTCTCGAAATGTGGGAACATTTGTTGACTCGGGCAGTAGTGATCTCTACATAGGATCAAAGCTTCCTGGTTCTCATTTCTTACAGAATGTCATTCCAGTTGAGAACCACTACTGGCAAGAGTATAACAGATAACAATTAGGATCAGAAGTGATCCTATGTCTCACCCTCTCCTTTTCACCTTTATGAGAAAGAATGCTTAAAGATCCTGATGTAATTAGAATCAGCAGATCACTTAGCGTTTTGAACTCCCTCTTTCATTACTCCTCTTTGTGCAGTCTCCTGTTCTGTTAGCTGATGACTAAAGCGGGGATCTACCATCAAGAGGCTCAATTGTTAAGGAAAAATTAAGCTTTGGCCCAATATGTTTACTTACTGATGTAGCAAAGTGATTCCTTCAAGTTAAATTTTTGCTGAGCAAATAATTAAAAAAGGAAGGTCCAGTAACTCACAGCACTATAAGATTTTCAGGTTTTTGTACACTTTGCAAGAGATGGCACTTGATGTACAGATGATGGGACAAACTATTAAGCTGTTTTACCTTCAGGGGGCAAATGCAAACAATAGAATGTTAGCTGGTTTTAACTAATCATAGCATGTTTCTTGTGGATTAGTATGACATGGGGATTAATAGACATCCAAGAACTGATAAATATCTAAGGCACTGTCTCATAGAATATTCTTTGATGTTTAATTCAAATTAATACCTTTTTGAAGGATTTTAAGGCTTAGTAGAATTATCTGTCCTTATTTCTTTTTTTTATTGCTGTCTTTTTATTGAATCTTTGCTGAGAAGAAAAGGTAAGCTTACTTACTAGCAGGTTTTGAGGAGACTAGTTGAGTGAATTACTCAAGGGAGGATTAACCAGATTCCATTTTATTATTGGATGCCAAAGTAAATGTTGTGACTATATTGTATCAGAGTGTTTAATGTGACCACCCAAAGCAGATGCTAAGGATGACCAAATTTCAGGTTAACACGATGACTAAGAAGGAAACTGAGCTACAGAGGGAGATACACAGGATGGTACAGAAAGCGACAGAGCTGAAAGAAGAACTTAGTGGAGAGAAAAATAGGTTAACTGAAGAATTAAAAGTGCTGTCAGAGGAACTGAAGAGCAGCAAAGTAAGTTTCTCTGTGACAGATTCATTATGCTCTAATAATTTGGTAAGCACACTCTCCTTGATGGTTTTTCTAAGACCCTCTGTAATGTATCAAACTTTTTTTTTTTCTTTCTTTTGGTGGTGGTTCTGGGGTTGGAACTCTGTACTTCACATGTGCTAGGCAAGTGCTGTACCACTTGACCCACACCTCCAGTCCCTTTTGCTCTGATTATTTGGAGATGAGGTCTCACTTTTTGCCCAGGCCAGCTGGGACCACGATCCTCCTATTTATGCTTCCCACCATCACTGGATGGTGATGTGTGCCTCCACGCTCAGCTTTTCTCCCCCTGTAGAGATGGGGGTCTCATAAACTTCTTTTGCCCAGGCTGGCTTGGACAAAAATTCCATGTAGCTTGGGAATGACAGGCATTCATCACTGTACCCAGCTAATGGTTGAAGTGGAGCCATGCAAACTTATTTGCCTGGTCTGGCCTCAAACCATAAGCCTCCCAATCTCTGTCTCCCAAGAAGTTGGGATTACAGGTATGAGCCACTGGTGCCTGACTCCAAACTTTTTTAACTTTTGAAAAAACTACCCAAGTTTATATCATGCTCAGATTTGTAGTACTCTCCACCATCTAGCACTGTCATGAGCTTAGAAGGAACCAAGAGACATTGCCTTAGGAACCATGATGGTGCACGTGATGCTAAGAAAGGGAATGACAGCACTGGATGTGTAGCACATGCCTGTAATCCTAGTTACTTGGGAGGTGGAGGCAGGAGGATCTTGAGTTTGAGGACTGCCCAGACAAAGTTAGTGAGACCCTATCTTAAGAACAAAAGGTCTGGGAGTGTAGCTCAAGTGGTAGAACACTTGCCTAGCAAATGTGAGGCCCTGAGTTCAAACCCAACTCTGCACATAAAAAAAGAATGGCAAAACCATGAAATCTATCGGGGAGACTTCAGAAACTGAGTGGGGAGGGGGATTGTTCTCTGCATCTTCAGGTGTTCTCTGAACATAATTCTTACATTTACAATATATGATTTTTTAATATGGCTCATCATTGTTTTTCCATAAACTTATTAAAAGAAAAGCAAGGTTTTAAATGGAATAATTTCTATTTTTGTAGATGGACCATCTTAAGTCCATAAATCAGCTGAAGAAGGAAAATGAGCGTGCCCAGGGGAAAATAAAGTTGTTGCTGAAATCCTGCAAACAGCTGGAAGAAGAAAAGAAAATGTTGCAGAAAGAACTCTCTCAGCTCGAAGCTACACAGAAGCAGAAAACAGGTGGGCGTTTGCCAGGGCACACGAGTTGCTCAAGACTGTCTTGGGAGTGCACGATAGGAACTCTTTTCAGTACTGGTCCTCTCAGTGCTGCTCTTTAGCAATTACCCATTTTCTAATTTCTGAACTTTGTGCTTAGTTTGGGGTTGTTATAGGATTCAGAATGAAGCCTGTCTGGTTTGAAATGGGACTATTTTATCATCTCTTCTGTAAAAACATGCAAAACAAATTCCCTGGTGGTACCTTTGCTAATGAGCCTCTAAGAAGAAATTTTCATTTTTATGTCCACTTAAGTAGTTTCTGCATCAAAGACCAATTGGCATCTGCGTTGTCATTGGTAATTTAGAAATAGCTGATTCTGGTTCTGGTTGACCTTTGCCTAACCTCATAGGTCAACTAAAGGGATGGTGTGGGGAACCACATCTTTGGGTGCGTAGGCAAAATTAGAAAAAATACACAGTAATTCTCTTTGTCACTTTTCTCCACTTATGCTGTACTTATTCTATCCACTTATTCCTTTGTGGATAGATGAGGGCAAGCATGGTGCAAGTGGCTGCTCTGGAGGAAGCTTAGCAGAGCAGGTCAACGGTCATCCTTGCTGGGAACAGTACAGGGAGTAGGTTGAGGTTTCAGGGAGTTTTTCTAGTGGATTGAGTGCCACCCATGGGAATTGTAAGTTACACATTGCATAGTTTTTCCCAAACTCTTGCCCACCAACTTGTCCCTTGCTTCCAAATGGTTTCATAGAATTTGGGTATTTATTTTGTCACTGGCCCCCCAAAGCCGTTTAACAGAGAATTTTTGAACATGAATGACTTCTGTGGTTCATTCCTTTATAGTGGAAAGAATGGAAGGGGGAAAAGAAAGGACATAAGAAATCAATTCATTTGGATCTCATTTCATAATGAACTTTAATGAGTTGGTGGAAATAGAAATTGGAGATTTTGGTGACTTATATTTCAGCTTTTTCAATAAGCGCATGTAGTCTACTAGAATATATTCTTTGGTGTGCTATGTCCCAAACAAGAGTTGTTTCATCGATAAGAATATAAATTGGTAAAATCTTCCTAACTCATCTAAAAACTTCAACAGGCTTATCTAAGGCTATCTGTTTTGCAGTACCCCCTGTTAGCTGGAGCAGCATCAAATTATATGTGATGTGTCACTTTATTTTGGACAGGCACTGTTGTGGATGCTAACGTAAAAGAATTACAGACGGAGATCAAAGAGCTGAAAGAAACACTTGAAGAAAAAACCAAGGAGGCAGAAGAATACTTGGAGAAGTATTGTTCCCTGCTTATAAGCCATGAAAAGTTAGAGAACGCGAAAGAGATGTTAGAAACGCAAGTTGCTTATCTGAGTTCCAAGCAATCCAAACATGATCTCCGAAGCTCTCCTTTGCAAAACTCAGTTGTTCCAGGATCATCTCCAGTTCCTTCGGCTGCTGAGAAGCGGTCATCAGCTGGCCAAAATAAAACTTCTGGCAAGAGGCAGAGGTCTGGTGGGGTATGGGACAGTGGAGGAGGGTCAACACCTTCCACTCCAGAGACATTTTCTAAAAAGAGTAAGAAAGCTGTCAAAAGTGGTTTTCACTCTGCTGGTGACAAGGAAGATACTGAGTTTGAGCCAGAGGGACTTCCAGAAGTTGTAAAGAAAGGTATGCATAATTTCAAAACAAAAATAGTAGGGCTGAGGGTGTAGCTCAGCGGTAGAGCATGTGCTTAGCCTGCATGGGACCCTGGGTTCAATTCCTAGCATTAAAAACGAGTTATTTGTGATTTCTTTTGAGGTTTTGTATAAAAATTCACATGTGAAAAACCAGAAGCATTTACTTCTTAGCTTTTGGATTATTGTACAGTGGTCCTAACTGGCCTTTAGGAAATGTAGTCCGTTTTAAATTGGTATGGTTATGAGAGATGACTACGATTACCCATGACACTGCAAAAAGACCTGGTAGATTTGAAGAGGGACTATCAAAAGGAACTGTTTAGAATCTTTCCTGAAAAATCCCTAAGTCAAGGAGCCCCTTCAAGCTTTCCTTCCCTGAGTCGTGTCTGGTGCAGATTGTAGGTGAGCTACACAGTGGGACTGGTGACACTGGCTCCCCCCAGGCTGGAGCCACTGGACTCGGTGCTGCCCCAGGTGGGGCCCAGGGCTCCGAGGCTGCCCTCAGCACTGCCTGTAACTAAAAAAGAAAGTTTAGAAATTGAAAATTAGGGTTTGCAAACTTTTTAAAAGAATTTGATGTAATTTCAGCAGCCAAACACAGAGGTAGGTAGACATTTTTTTTCTGTTGATTCAATCTTATTAATACAAAAATATCTTTCTACATCAGATTGGAAATTTTGTCTTCCACCCACGACCCCCCCCAACCAAAATTGCCATAGATGGTTTGAGAAACACTGTTCTGATTAATTGTAGCCCCCAAATAGTCAGCAATCTCTTTCCGATGGGTGATTTTTATTTGTAAAGGCTTATAAACAGTCAACTTTCATTAGCTTTGCCAGCTGGTGTGGAGTGTGGTGTACTGTCTTCTAGTTTCCTTTGGGCTGGCATTCTCTCTTTGTCATCAAAGTCAGGTCAGTTTCCTCTCTGGAAGGAGCAAGTGATGTCACCCTTTGGGAGACCAGTCTGTCCTCCTCCCTAGTCCTACATGAGAGTGGTCACCTGAACCCAATATTACCATTTTACATTTTCCCCCTTTAAACAAGAACTGGCCTTTTTATTTTTGCTTTTCATATTACCAACTCAGATTTTATACTGTGACCGGCTGGCTCCTTCAGAGCTAGAAAAATGAAAGCTAGGGCATCCACATAGAAGAAGAATCTGTGAACTATTGTTTCCTCTTTTCCCACTGTGGGTTTTTTTTTTTTTTTTTTTTTTTTAATATTCCTAATGAGAGGTAGCCTGTTAGTTATTCATTCCATTTGATGACTCCCAGTGCAACTGTGAAGTTGAATACATCGTCCTCTGCTGCTGAGAGAAGTTATTTTTGTAGTTACCCTAATTTTTGTTAAAACTTTGCCTATTGAATATCATTTCTGTTGTATAAGAATTGAAACTGGAAGTGTTGACAGCCCTTTTGCCCTTAGGGTTTGCTGACATCCCTACAGGAAAGACTAGCCCATATGTCCTAAGGAGAACAACCATGGTGACCAGGACCAGCCCCCGCCTTGCTGCACAGAAGCTAGCCCTGTCCCCGCTAAATCTGGGCAAAGAAAATCCTGCAGAGTCCTCCAAACCAACAGCTGGTGGCAGCATATCACAAAAGGTAAACTCTGTCAACATCCATCTGCTGACTGCAATACCAGAAATCACTGTTGCAGGGTTGGATTCTGAGCTGTGTGACTCAGGAGCCTTTTCAAGCCTAACCTTTCCTATGTGGTGTAGGTCAGTCAGGAGTTAGCAAGCCCAGGGTCAAGCAGTATGAGGTTCTGCAGTTCTGATCTCATCCTCCACTCCACAGATCACTTTCAAATAGCTTGCTGGTAGTTGATGTTGTCCTGTGAAATCTGGATGCATTTGTAAGAAAGTTTCAAGCCTATTGAAGGATTCAAAGAGGTAGTTTTCCTTCTGACCGTGGAATGTACAGTTACTGCTTATTCCCAGCTTTTCACTTTCACTCATCTGCCCCCCAGCTCCTGATTCTGTCAGGTTCTTATTCTTCACTTCCTGTAAAAAGCACTATTTCAGTAGATAGCTTAAGAAATTCGCTCTGTTCATGGATTTCTCTACTGTGATTGTTAAAGATAGGATGGGATCTTCGTGACCACTGTGTACCTTATAAGTAACCCAGAAGATGTTATTTAGGGCATGGAGAGTATTTGCTCAAAGGGGCTTTAATTCTAATACTATAATCCACACCAGCAGTTACCATTTATGAATGCAGAGAATATGCATTTTATTTTCTCGTTTTGTTGATCTCTCACAGTAAGTAGTGTCACAAAAGAAAGGAGAAAGGAAGACTCCCAGTGTTCATACCTGCACTCCCTCAACTAACTCTGCACTCTTGTTTGTGCCAAAATGCCAGTTTTTCTCAAACTGGAGACTATGCTGTTGGAATTTGCTTGAATAGCTTCAAAAAGTTTTAAAATTTTGTGGTATTGTTTGCTCCATTGTCAGAGTTTAAATATGCAGTGAGATAACCTTGAACTAGCAAAAGAAGCTTTAAAAACATAGTACCTCCTATATACATAATTACACATAATTATTATAATTATGTATAGTAATAATTATGTAATAAATAAGTGAGCAAGAATGTGCCTCCTTAGGATTTTAGAGACCAAAATGCAAAACATTTGGTTACATCAAAATAGCAACAGATTTGCAAATTGGTTTGTTTTTCTTGTTATGTAAGAGCTATATGCAAGTTATACATGGTAATAAATTTGTTCATAATTTATATTATAATAAATTAATTCCAGGATGAGGAATGTTCTAAGAATCACTCATTGAAATGGAGCCATCTATTCCTTGTATTAGAAACGGTTGGCTATTTTGTGCATTTTTTCCTCCCTTTTTCCAAAGTAGCCTTCTCTTTTTCTGTCTCTCTGGATTTAACTTTTGGATGCTGCCAACAACACAGTGCTGAAGAGTATGGTGAGGTGGGTCCTGACTTCCATTGATGATCAGAAAAGCTTCTTAGGGCTTGGGAGCATAGCTCAAGTAAGGTCCTGGGTTCAATCCTCAGTAAGGTTAAAAAAAAAAAATTTCTTAAAGTAGTGAGCACCCCTAATGAAGAGGCTAGGAAGCTTGACCAAAGCTGTTAGCCACAGGATAGCCACTGGGCTCCTATCCCTGAAGAGTCATGTTTAGTTTCCAGGTATAGTCTGTGTCATTTCTTAGATGGGTAAGCGGGAGCTACCTCATCCCTCAGTAAAATCTCATATCCAGTGCTGTCTGTCTGATACTTACAAAGAGCAAATGAGTCATTAGGCTCCCTTGAAACAGAAAAACCACACCTTCCACTATCTTAAGGCAGCTCCCTTGTTGTTAACTGCTTGAATATTTCTCTTCAGAATGAATAGGTATCCGGGTTTGTCTGTGGCTTACTTGTATTTTCCAGTGTAATGAAAAGTCTGACATTCAACAAACATTTGTTGAATGAATGGAGCCGTGAACGTTGTCTAGAAGTGACTTTAATAGTAGATGTTTATAAAGGTATGTTAGGAAATTGTCGCATGAAATCACCACATGGGGTTTTTTTTTTTTTTCCTGAAGAGGAATTGAGGGTAAAAGGAGTTTGCATGCAGAGTTCAGATTTATTATCTTGGAAAAAGCTTTGCACGCTAGGGGGCTGGCTCTCCACACTGCAGTTGAGCCTGTTGGTAGAGAGTAGTAACCATGGTTTCCTGTGGATTTGTGTTCTCCACATTAGCTACATGCAGTTCAGTAGGCACCAATGGTTATGAATTGCTAAGCAATTTCATGTACTTGCAAATGAATGGTGGGGGGTCCTCTTGAGAGGAGGTTATCAGAGACTTCGTGATTAGATTCAAACTCTTCAAAACCTAGCCTAGTAATTTTCGGTTTAACAGCAATTTCTGAGTTGCCCTGTGAAATGCTCGCCTCATATGTTATGCATATTTCACCATTGAGCTTTAAAAAGTATAGAACAAGGTATTATTTTCTGAAGCATTGCTGTAAATTATAAGCTAAGATGGCTGGCTGAGTTGAGAGACAAAAGTTCCCTAGGTCATTTACTGACATTTAATGAGTTCAAAGTTGGGAAAAATGGGTAAAATGCAGATGAGGATCATCCTCTGTTTATGATGTCATTGAGATGAAGATGGCCAGGAATTCTGGTGTTCTGGGAACAAGGGAGCTAGAGATCATAGACTCGATCTCCCGAACATTTAGAGTGGTCAGTGCCAGAGGATGGTGACTGGATCAGAAAGCCCATCATGGATGGAGGTGCTGTCAGCAATTTCATGGGCACCTTACATGTTTTTTTTGCTAGTGAGGTTCGTTTTCACTGAGCCACCTTCATCTCTGTCTTCTTCCTCACTGGGGCTGTAGACATTATTATAGGATAGGATATGGATGTCATGTAGATTAAATTCTGACTTGGTGAAGTTGACCTCATCTGGTTATGAATCATTCTAAGGTTAACTAATCAACATGAAGATCAATCCACAGTTTAAATTCTGATCAGAGTGTAGTTTCCTCAATTCAGTGTCAGAGAAATTGAGTCTGGGTAGGGAAGCCAAGGAGTGAGTAAACATCAGGTGTTTAATGAGTTAAGTCTTGCTGGCTCAATTCATTATTCCATATGTAATCTGTCTCTCTCTTTCTTTCTCTTCCTACCTACCTACCTGAAGGATTTGACATTCCTGCATCTGATGGTTCAAGTGAAACATTTGTCTTTGGCATCACTTTCTTTAAACAAACAAACAAGAAAAGATAGTACCAGTAGAACTCTGTGCTTTTCTTTAACTTTCCATGGGTGGGGATTTTCCACTGGCTTCTGGTCCTTCAAGGCTGCTTGGTTTTCAGTGTCCTGCACATGAGCTGAATAGATGCAAGCTTTCCAGGGTTGTGATGTGTTTTCTGTAATGAAAAGTATGTAACTGCCTGTTAAAGCCACATACTTCCTATGGAAAGAATATAAGTGGAAAGATCATTTCCATTCTTTGTTTCAGAAGGAGGTCTCTGGAAGTCATTTGCTCAGGGAGTGTCTGTTATATAGCTATTTTCTGACTTCTGCATCAAACTTTATCTGCCCTTGTTAAGAGCCCTTTTTTGTTTTTTTCCTTTTCTTTTTATTTATTTGTTAAGTTTTTGAGGTGGGATCTTGCCATGTTGATGGTCTCAGACGCCTGGACTCAAGAGATACTCCTGCATCAGCCTCATAAGTAGCTGGGACTATAGGTCTACAGCTATCTGTAGCACTTCTCTCTTTTTCTTTTGAAGATCTTCTTGAGTTCCACTCTTGTCATTAAAACTTTGGTTGAGTGAAGCTTTTCTATCCTCCTTTTTCTTGCTCTCTTTTTTCTGACCCCATGTCTTTTTTCCACTACTGTATAAATCTCAATAAATCTTGACTCACTAGCTACCTTACCCTCTCATCAATTTCTTTATTGTCAGATAGCTGCCCTTCCACTATAATCCAAATCTACTAAGGAAACACCAGCACTGTAAGGAGACTGACTAGAATATCCAGGTCTTCTAAATGTTGTAAATAAAGCTTCCACTTTCTGAAGTCAGTTACTTATTTGAATTATGCTCATTCTGAATGACAGCAGGGGTTTAGTTGAGACATGTGGAGGTAGGTTTTGATTCTCACATTGAAATTTGTAGGTGTTTACAATTTAGACGAGCACCTTGTAGGCATTAGGAATACATAAATCAATAAGACAGAGTCTTCACTTTAAAGAGTCTACCTTCTTGTCTGAAAATGCCATACTACCTTTGGAGCAAGTGGCCAGCCATTAAAGTTGTCAAGGAAAGTTTGGTGACTTGTTAGAGGTCATATCTGACATCCTCCTAATTCTTCTTGGTAGGTGGGGCCTGTTCTCAGGAAAGAAAATAGTAAAATTAAAAGAATTAAAATCCTACACCCTCATACAGAAGAACTTAACGAACAACTTGGTGACATAGTGCTTCATTTTTCATTTTGTAGAAATGTGAATGTGATGTAAGCCTCTAACAAAGATGTATGTGTTGCAGGTCAAGGTTGTGCAGCAGCGTCCAGTGGATTCAGGCACTGCCCTGGGAGAGCCCACCATGAAGTCACTCTCAGTCAATAACCTAACTGAGCGAAGCTTAGCGGACAGCCCCAGAGAGGGCCTGAGAGCCAAGCGGGGCCGCCTTGCCCCCAGCCCCGATACTGGACTTGAGCCCAAGGGCAATGAAAACTGCAGGGTCCAGTGAGGCCCCTGTGTGTTGGGGCCCTTGGAAGATGGCAGTAGTCACAGGTGATAGTCTGCCTATGGGGACTTTTCTTTAGCTAGAGAGCACTTTAATTGTGGAGAGAAAACAACTACTTGTCTTCTAAATATATTATACTCTTTAGATCTTCCACGTGTAGGTATTAGAAAAGTTTGGAAGCACTGATCATCCAGTCACCTCCACTGTAATATAAATAGTACTGTACAGAGTAGTTTGGTAGTGTTACAGTTAAATTTCAAGCACCATAATGACTTCTGTTTGTATGTTGATTTTACACTAAAAAATACCATTTTATACTTCCAATGAAAACTGCCAGAAAAATGTAAGCCTTTGCTTTATGATCTTCCATATGTATAGTGTTTGACATAAAACAGGTTTAGATCAAGAGTTTCTTTGAGCTTAGTAAAATGAAGGGAAACCATGTTACATGTTTCTAAGGAAAACGTGTACCCATTTACACATGTGAGTATGCTCATCCTTCTCTTTCAATGTGTTTTATAAATTGTTGCTTATATAACCTGTACATATGTGTGTGTGGGGTAGTGGGGAGCTGTGTGTTTATTTCTACTTTCTCTGGTTGTAGGTCCTTAGAGGTGTAGTATATCATGTTTGCTGTCATTGTGCTTTTTTCTTTTTTAAGACCATTATAGTTCTTTGGCATACATTGTCATTTTTGGTGATGGTGTATTAAAATATGGCCTTTCTTGTTCTAATAAATAAATCACCTTTGGTTTTTGTAAAAAATATTCCTAAATATAAAAGTATTATGAATATTGGTAACAATTTGAACATTTGGACAATTGCTACAGATCTTTGAAGACACAATACCAGTATATTTGATGAACCTGAGGCACAATTTAGCATGCCATAAAGGTTGAGAGTGTTACACATGCAGCCCTGTGCCTAGAATGCCATCTGTACCCATTAAATCACATCAGCAAAGATACAGGCTGTGGTATTTTCCATCTCCAGTTATCAATGATAAAGAGTTTTGACAATATGCATGCACTATGAGCCATATCAAATCAAAAAACATTTGAACAGGCCCTTGCGTCTTTGATTCAGGGTTAAAAAGTTTTTCAAGGGTATGAGTTACTAAAATGAATGACTAAAAGATAATTGTTCTTGGCTTTCAGTTCAGATTGATGCTCAAACCTTGACAAACATCATCATTTTGTATTTTAAGATTGTCCTTTGCAAAGTGGCCTCTATTGGATAATGCTCCAATAATATTAAGCTCCTTAGTATTCATCTACTGAAAGTGATATCCTAGTTTCCTCTGGTTTCGTCAGTTCTCGGGGTTGTGGTGTGGTACAAAATCATAAGTCATCCCAAGGCTGCCATGAGCTCAAGGGCACAGCCTGGAGTAGACACTGCTTTCCTGGCTGCCTCTAGTGACTGGAAGATTCCACTCAGTAGACGTTGCCGGGTCCTTTCTTGGGTTCTTGAAAGCATCGCCTTCTTTTCTTAGGTGTTCCATAGTTCCTGCTTTGGAACTACATGTAGTACTTCTGTAGCCAAAGCAATGGGTTTACCCTCTTGGTGAGTGCAAAGGTGATAAGCATAATCAGAAAAGAGTAAAGAAAGGTTTTTTATTTGCAACAAGTAAGGAGATAATTCTCAAAGTCGTGTATCTCCCCAATAAAGAAAGCAAGGAATTCAGGGGCTTTTATTGGAGAAACATCTATCTTCCTATGGGAAACACTAATAATCACATAGAAGTGGGTACTTTCTTGAGCATGCTCATTTTGAAATGGGGTTCATATATTGTTTGTTCAAAAATGGTGCCTGGCTACCTCCAGGGTGAGAATTTAGCAGCATAAGGAGAGTATAGTGTGCAAAATACTTTGGGTCACCTGGAAGAGGGACTGGATGGATTCAGCTGGTTTATACCAGTCCCTTGTCTTCTCTGGATTGCCTTTCTGAAACAAAAGAACAACTTAAAAGGATAGCCTTCATTTAAAGGGGTAGTAGCTCTTCCCCTTCCCCTGTAAGTATAGGACATGTCCCTAAAATGGCCTTTCTGTGGCCAACACTCATGTTATCATAAAGAATTGTTCTAGATCTTATAAATAAATGGACAGCCAGGCCATTAAGTATTCTTTTCCTCAAGTTAGCAGAACTCATTAAACTGTGAGCAGAGCTGTATATGGGATGAAAAATAAACATGCTAAGTAACTAGCTCTCAAGTGTCTTACACATTGGTTGAGTCACAAATAGTATCCTAGCTGACAAATCGTATGGGGAAATGAGCCATGTCCAGAGATCTGGAATCACAGTCTCATCTGTACAATGAAGGACTTGATTGAAAGATTCTTTTTCCTTGAACATTCTATAGGAACTGAAGGGGCCCTTTATGTTACTGGTAGTTTTCAGGAGTCCAAAGGGCCTGTGTCTTCAATCAGTGGATAAAACCCAACATTTAATGTAGCCTGCTTTTTAAGAGTTATTCTCCTCCCTAACATTCACCTTCCTTGAGATTTATTTGTGATTTTTCTGATATGACTCCAATGTATTTGTTTTATTGGAGCTATCAAATTTTCAGATGTTTGAACTTGGAAAAAATCAGGGCAGTTCTTCCCCAAAGTCTAGGAAGGAGACCTCCTCATGTTTCCTACCAGTTTGAGTCTACAAAGGGTTTCTAACTACTTTTCCAGGGGTCTCAAAATTGATCATTATTGTAGAATTTGCGGGTTTTTCCAACATCATCTGGGCAATGGCAATATGTCATGAAAGAAATTTAAGAGGAAGACAAACTGGTCATTACCTATAAGCTATAGCAATGGTGAGAAGTTGAGCTCGTCCTTGCTGTTGTGGTTGAATGAGGAGACGCCATCAGTTCCTGAAAAAGGACATTAAGTACCTGACATTGGTAGTCGAGGACAGCTGAAGTATACTGTTTACCACTTTTATTTGGATGAGCTCTCTTCCCTTTGGAGGAAGGGGCTTCACAGCAGGTACAATGACTAGACCCTGAGTGCTTCCAAAGAACCTGGCCATTCTACTCAGAAAATCCTGGCAATCTACAGGTTACATCCACCCCCAATCACACCTATGTATGTAGTATGGCTGCTCACCTGCGATATCTCAACACTGGGAAGTTATATACATTTCCCAAGGTGTTTTCACATATTTGCTCAAACCTTACATTTTTGTGAGGTAGACATTCAAAGCTCAATTTGTCTGGAATTAAGTAACAGACATTGGTAGGACTTGGGGAATATAGTGCTGGGAAGACATTGGTTAATAATAATAATGTGTTTCACAATAGCCTTCAAAGTGAGAATTATCCTCATGGGGTAAAAAATGAAATGTGAAGTGTTTGGCCAGAAAGCAGATCTCTTGGTCCTTCTGCCTCTCTAGAATAATTCTGATGGTACAGATACTCAAATGATAGAAGTAGCTTTTCCACTTTCTATGTGCAGTGGAGACATCTTCAGTCTTCTGGGGTGATTGCATCTTATTTGTGTAAATCTTATATTCAATTTTCAAAATATAAGACAAACTAGCTTTAAATCTCAGCTCATGAAAAATGGTACCAGGGTAGTGTAACACTACTGTAATCCCAGCTACTCAGGAAGCAGAGGAAGGAGGATCACGAGATTGAGGCCAGCCTGGACAAAGTTAGGGATACCCTGTCTCAAAAACAAAAGGGATGGGGCGTAGCTCAAGTGGTATGAGGGTTTGCCTATCATGCATGAGGCCCTGGGTTTAATCCCCAGTACTGCAAAAAGTAAGTAAATGAATACATAAATAAGTGTAACTGCTGACAATGCATTATTAGTAAGATATTATTTATTTAAATGAGAGCAAATCCTTTTAAAAAGTCTTGGAAATCTATAAAGTCTGTAAGGCTTTGATTGCAAAAGTTTATTGTAACGTAGACATCACGACATCACGTGAAAGTCAGGTGTCAGAATGCCTGGGATCCACATAGGACCTGGAGTAATTACTTAACAATTTGTGCCTCTGTTAACTCATTGGTAAAGTTGCATGTAGTAGTAAGAATACCTCAGAGTTCGTATGATGATTGAATTAATTAATTGGGTTGTACATGGTTATGATTTTGCACTCAATAAAATGTTGGTCATACGCAGTTGACTGCACAGATAACTTTTTAAATGTTGCATCTTAGAATTGTTAGATAAACCTGTTTATCCTTTATAATGCATTAACATCAGATCAAGTTCTGTCCTACAAAAGAGAGTTGAGAACCAGTCTCAATACCATTAATGCTTATTTTGTAAATATGTTAAATCACTATAGATTTGTACATATCATTTAATTACTGAGCATGCAAATGAATCATTCACTGGTTTTTCATTTTTGTTTGGCTCATTAAAAGCACCCAAAGAAAAACAATTACTGCAATTTTACTTACAAATGAGTTGTGCTCTGTAAGTTCAAATATAAATTGCTTGTTTGGAATTAAGAATACTTTTCCTCATAGGAACAATATTGCAAATTGGGCCTAAATTCAAGCAGAATGCCAATTTGGCCCATAACGTGACAAAATGGCAATTGGGTTTGTCTCAGCTATGCAAAGCCTCCATTCACAGCAGTTTCTGTAGAAAAATATATTTTAAGAATGAGGGTGCCCCAAACCATTATTCGATCCTGCAGCCATTTTTCTGACGTGTCCCGCTCCTCCTCTCCTTTTGTGCTAGCGGACGGGAATTGACTGGAGGTCAATTTCTCGGAATAGAGAAATGGGGACATAAACTTAGATTTGCCACCTTTCTATGACAGCAGCTGCTCTTAGTCTGAAAGAGAAAGTGATGTCTTTTTCACTGGCTCTGATGCTGCAGGCAAAGGCAGCTCTGTAGCATCTGGGTCCATGTGTTTGTGTGGTAAATTTAGGTGGCTTGTTCCACTGATGCTTGAGAGAATCTCAAATACACACACACACACACACCCCAAGTTAGATTTTTTTTCTAGATTGAGTTCCAGCGCACAAAATTTCTACCAGTTGCTGTTCCCTC